AACTCAATAAATATTAGCTGATTATCTGTAGATTAGGTGTTGTGTGAGTATTGTAGAAGGGGATACAAAGAAGAGAAAGATGTAGTCCTGTATTTTAGAAAGTTTACTTAACCTTAACAAATATTTCGAGATTCACCAGAAAGGCTGCTGTTGAGAAGATGATGTGGCATTTTGAGTGGGCCTTGCCAAAGGTTTTGACAAGCCAAGAGCTTTGGTGTGGTTGGTGGACACAGTCTGAGCCAAGGGTAGGCAGTTAGGGTGCTTGTCCAGGCAGGGTGGCTGGTTTTTGGTTTTTATTTATCAATAAGCAGATTGATACAGTCTGTCCTGTATCTATACACTAGAAATTTAAAATTCTCTTAAGTACAGAAAGCTAGGTTCCAGTCTAGAGGTTTTAACTTATATAACTTTACTAAATTTGTTTCATGTATTATTACCTCATTTCATTCTCAAAAATAGCCCTTTATATTCTATAAGCCCAGAATCCATTATCTGAAACTCCCAAGGCTAGATGTGTTTCAGAATTAGAAATTTTTCAGATTTCAGAAAGGTAGTTTGGAGCATATAACCTCCAGAGAAGTGTTAATATTCTGGTAATGAAACATACATATTTACATTGTATAGAATAAATAGGGACTATAAGTGTCTCATATCAATTCAGAGCATATTTTGCCTCCAAATGGGTATAAGATTAGATTTTGACACCAAAGAGATTATGGACTTTTTTTTCTTTAGTTTTTTCAGGATTCCTGAAATTTAGAATTCCAGATAATTGCATTGACTTATATTACCCTTAGTCATGCAGCTTTTATTGGTGGAACCTATATTTATGCCCTGGTTTGTCTGGCACTAAGTCTCATGTTCTTCCTACTTTTTCCACATCAAAGGGCTAGTCTTGACCGAAAGCTTATCCTTAATGTTAAATTTCTTAATGGTCCTTGGTTTTTATGACTTTTATTTTGAACCCTGACTTTGTTTCTTGTTTACTGACATATTCCCAGCAACTCTGACAGTGGTGGATGCTCAGTGAGTGTTTGTTGAATGAATGAGTCAACTCACAGATACTCTGAAAGCTGTTTTCATAGCCTCTCTTGTGTCAGTAGTTTTCTAGCACAGGAGAATGAAAGACAAGACAAGGGGCATCAGTAGTTTATAGAAATTGTTTTTCACTCGGTTTCATTATACACCCTTTCCTCACTTATCAATATGCTTAGGTTCCAAAGACCAGGTCATTATACAAGATAGGTTTTATGCGAAATACTTACGGTTTCTTGCCTCAGCCTCCCCCCCTCCTTGGTCCCAGCGCTCTCAGTCAGGCAGCTGTGGTCCCGCTGTACCTGCAGGAGTCACGAGATTGCCCTCTGTCCGGTTGCCGGAATCCCAATCCATGCTGCGGGCTAGTGGCCACCGGGTGTCCTCAGCCGCCCAACGTGAGCACCGCCCACACCCCATTCCGGTCGCCTGTCCGCCCAGATGGTCCAGACTAGTGTTAAATACCCCAGGGGTGGCGCCACTCCTCTCTCTGCAAGCCCTGGGTGAGCTGTGCCACGAGGGTGTTCATTCGGCCAAGTCTTTAATACGCAAAATAGTCGGATTTTTACTATTGTCATGAATGCGAAATGTGGGATAACGAGATAGTCAATAAGTGAGGAGTAGTTGTATAGTACAGTCTAAATATGTATACCTGAAAACTACTGTTATCATCATTCCACACAATAGAAATGATTGTCTGCAGAGTCAGCAGTGTATTTTGTTCTTAGCATATACTTAATATGAAAATATGTGGATTGTGGAAGTGAATTGATACTTGGTTCCCTTGCTAGATTTATAGTAAAAATATTTTTTTAGTGGAAAGAGCACTCTTGTGGGAATTAGGAGAATTGGGTGTAGTTCCAGCTTTGCTACTAATGATGTGGGTCACATTGGGAAGTCATAATTTGGTTTGGGGTCTCAGTATCCTGATATCTAAAGTATGTTTAGGAGGGCGAAAGTTGGGCAGAGTGAAATTTCAAGGTAACGAAGCTTTCATTGGCACCTGATTGCTTTTTTGAGCACTTAACCTACTCTCTTGGCTTCCTTCTTCCCAGGGAAGCACTTTCCCCAGGTGTAACAAAGACTTCTTTGTGGCACTTGCCTTCCCTGGCACTGCTCCATTTTTGAAAGTCCACTGTGGATTTTCATTCCCTTAATACTATGGCTGTCAGCTGAGTTAGGTTCCACGAAAATCATTTCAAAAATCCTGAGGCCCAGCATTGCCCTATTCTTTGTTCTCTCAGAGGTTGGGATTTAATCCAGCCCTTGTCTGCCTATGTGCCTTTGGTAAGATTTTGTCTTTCTTTCGAACCCAGCTCTGGCACAGCCACCTCTGGGCTCTCTTGCTCACTGAACCAGAAAATTGGAGGTGAGGTCACTGCTTGTAAGAGAACGCTTCCCTCCTTCCTCTGTTCGATATTTGATATTGGCAGTATTCTGGTGTCACTGTGCATCTCAAGTGTTTTTAAGGTACAGGGCTCTGGGCAAGGATCAGAGTACTGTTCTACTTGCAGTTGAGGCAGCCCACAGTGTAAAGATATGTCAACAGGGGGCTTTCACCTTCCTTCTCCAACTAAAAGAGATTGACTAGGAGAGACAGATTTAGAGAGTGCTAGGGGAAGACTGAGCACAGCATCTTGAACATAGCAGGTTAATGGTCACGTCCAGCTGGAGAGAACTGAAGTAGTGAAACTAACAGCCTGTATCTCTGAACAGTGTCACTGGAAACTGATCTCAGGTAAAGGTGTTTAAACTGATACACACTGAGGTTATAAGTCAACTAATTATAATTCACCACATGGAATAGAGGCATTTTACCTGTTGTATGCAGTGCCCACAGAGAGTGTGGGTACAGGTAACAGAGGAAGATGCATTTTGGGCAAGAGCCCCAGAACCATGTAAAAAGTGATGTTTATAATTTAAGGTCATACTGAGAGTCCTAGGGCAGAATCACTCCTAGATTCTTACTTCATGGCTTAGAAAGCAGCAGGATTTCGTTTTGTAATTAAAGTCACTTTTGGTTTGTTCTGTATTGTCACTCAAAATATTTCTTAATGCAGCAGGACCACTGGTTTACAACTCACATACTTCAGATAATTTATTGATATTAAATAGTACTGTATTTAATTTTGAATGTATACCTTTGCACATTTAGACCTGAGCTAACTGTTGCTTTTCAGTTCACATTTTTTTGTTAAAGGAATTTGAGATCATGTATAAGGAAAAAATGTTCTAGTCATTGTGATGAAAGACTGTGGATCTCTCAAATGTAAAGGAAAGGCTGTAATCTTATTTAAAACATATTCCCTTTATGTGCTAATACGTTTCACCAACCTCACTAGATAGATGAGACCACTCAGCAGCAATAAGAGAATTCACTGTCCCTGGGCTGTCCCAGGACCATCAGTCAGGTACCTCCCTGGTATTGTGGTAGCCCCAGGTGACGCCTCACATGAGCTCATAAACATTTCTCCATTTCCTTCTCTGCTCTGCCCCTACCCCTTTGGTGCTCACTCCTTGGGAAGCCACTTGAGGTCAGAGCTTCTTCACCAGTCTTCTAGGGTCCCCATGACACACTGACGGCTGTGCCAGGGGTCTTCTGAAGCTTCTACTCATGAACCTATAAATTGCCAAGGCAATAGCACTGTGCTCTTAGAAGAAACAGAGATAGTAACCTCCTTGCAAGCTTACTCTCTCACACCACAAAACTATGCTGGTACTTTACATCTCATAGACTCCTGAAAAGCTGCTCCTTCAGCTTCTGTGCAGCTGCCTTGCTCCACAGAGCCAAATAGGAATCCATGGAATGGTGGGGGTAGGAACCAGTGTCTGAAGCATACTTTCCCCATAAAACCATCTCTCTCCTCAGCGCCAGAAACCAACCAAACAAACAAATTTCTAGTGTAAGAGCACCCACTGATTCATAAGATATGCCCAGAAATTTTTGAGTCTCACCTTAGGTTTACTCTAAGACCCTGATTACATTTACTTCAAGATAATAATAATGATCAGTATCAGTAGATTGCAGGGATTTCCATCAAAAGCAATTCTGCTTTGCTGTTGCACTTACACACTCACCTCACTCTCCAGCCATCAGATCCCAGAGGCTAGCCAGGCTGTGACCATGGAGCAAACAAAGCCCCAGGTGTGTGAGGCTGACCAGACTTTTACCACTCTGCTGTATCTGTCTGAGTATCACCAGTCTTCTTCATATATCTCATGAATATTCATATTCTTATATGAATCTACGTTTTAGAGTGAAATGGGAACACTGTTGGCACTTACGTCAGGAAAATAAGAATAATGTATCACGCTAAATATGAATGAGCTATAATATAGATAAGGAGCCCTGGTGGCGCAATAGTTAAGCACTCAGTTCAGTGATTTGAACCTACCAGCCAATCCACAAAAGAGAAAATCTGGTAATCTGCTCCCGTAAAGATTTACAGCTTAGGAAACCCTGTGGGGCAGTTCCACTCTGTCCTTTTTGCTGTTTGCTATCAAGTCGACTCATGCTGACCCTGCAGAATAGAGTAGAACTGCCTTATAGGGTTTCCCAGGCTGTAAATGTTTACGGGAACAGATCACCAAGTCTTTTCTCCTACAGAGTGGCTGGTGGGTTCAAACCACTGATCTATTGGTTAGCAGCCGAGTGCTTAACCATTGCACCATAGGGTTACTATGAGTCAGAATCAATTCAAAGGCACACACCAACAACAATATAATACAGATAAACTTTGAAAACTGTATTTTTTACCATGTTTGCCTAGTTATTGCCAAAAACCCTATGATTTGATTTTTATGCTGTCATATCTCTTTTTTAAAATCTTGATATCTTGCTTACAAGTTTCTTTCTTAGAACAGTGTTTCATGGGAATATACTGTCCCAGTAGTATTCTTTTCTAATCATAATTTGATTTTTCTTTCCTTGTCCCCACCAACTAGAAATGTTTTTATTTTCAACGCAGATGCAGAGTTTACAGGGTGGTACAGAAGCCATAGCCCGATTGGATCAGTTAGAAGCTGATTATTATGATCTGCAACTTCAGTTGTATGAAGTACAGTTTGAAATCTTGAAGTGTGAAGAGTTACTATTGACATCACAACTGGAAAGCATCAAAAGACTTGTATCAGGTATGGTGTGCACTTAACCACAGAAGTCTACAAAAGATTGAATATGTAGAGAAAGTATGCATGGACCTAAGCTATTTTTTTTCTGTTAAGAGCAAGAAAAAAAAAATAAAGGAAACTTTTTAAAGAGTGTTCCTGAAGTCAACAAGTAGTTCAGTAGGTGTGGGAGTGTCTGGATTTTCAAAAACTGAATATTTGGGAGGTTCTAGCATTTATTGGAGGAGCCCTGATGGTGCAGTGGTTAAAACACTTGGCTGCTAATTAAAAGGTTGGCAGTTTGAACCCTCCATCCGCTCCACAGGAGAAAGATGTAGCAGTCTGCTTCGGTAAAGATTTATAGCCTTGGAAACCCTATGATGTAGTTCTTCTCTGTCCTTTAGGGTTCCTATGAGTTGGAATCGACTTGATGGCAGTGGGTTTGGTTTTTCATTAGCATTTATCGAGCATTTAGTGTCTGTAAGACACTACTAAGCACTTTGCACACATTCACCCTGTGAGATGTATTTCTTAATTATCACCATTTACAAAGAAGGAACTAAGTGTGAGGTTCAAGAGGTTATCACTTTTCCTGAATTTCAGGGCCAGTAAGTAGGTTAGAACCCTGTTCTGTCTAGCTCCATAGCCTGTGCTTTTAACCACTACCTCTTGTTGCTACTTTTCTGTAACAGAAAAGAGAGATGAAGTGGTGTACTATGACACTTATGAAAGCATGGAGGCCATGCTGGAGAAGGAAGAGATGGCAGCATCTGTGCATTTACAGAGAGAAGAGTTGCAGAAACTTCAGCAGAAAGCACGCCAGCTGGAAGCAAGACGTGGACGGGTTTCAGCCAAGAAAGCCTACCTCAGAAACAAAAAGGTATGATAGGTTAAGCATTTCTTGAATAAATAGTCTTAATTTAAAATCTTGTTTTTATTAATTACTTAACCATATCTAGTAATCCTAAGAGTTTTGTCACTAATACTGCATATTTTTAAAAGCTAAGTAAGAGTTACCTGGTCTTAATACTCAGGCCATTATGTTAAACATGTACAGTTGTTGTAAACACATTGGAATAGCCAGCAGTGATGTGATGTTTACCTCCTAAAGGTGACTTCTGCAGAAGGGTGTGACTACAGGATCCTATTTAACACAAGTTAGCTGTATTCTTATACACAGGCTGCTGAACTGTTTCTCTCCTAATTACTAAATTCCTATCTCCTTTTTAAATAAGGAGGCCGGTGATATTCTACAATTAAGTTATGATTCTAACCTCAGTCTTGAAGGAGTTTTATAGATTTTGTGTTTTTTTCTTTAAACTTTTTTAAATGTTTGTTCATTTTGATACCTAAAATCAATTATTTTGTGGGAATGTGACTTTTCTTCCTGCGCCTTAGGAAGTTCTTTTGCTTTCTAGTCCAGACATAACCATCTTGGGGTTGTTTCTAGCCACCGTAAGTGTGGAGTTGGAACCTGATTTCGGCCCCAGCTCTAAGGCCTGGACTAAACTGATGACTGTGTGGTACTAATTTGCTTTAAGCTCAGATATCCAGGCAAAAGAAACCACCTTCCTGCTCTTCACCAGATTCCAAGGCTTCTACTTTCCCATTCTGCAGAGAATTGAAGCCCTTCGTCTCTTGAAATAGTTAGCTCTTGCATATATACAAGAAACTCAGGAATGCATCTTTCTCCACAGTAAGTCAAGAACCCAGGGCCTTCTGTCACTTTGCTTATCCACAGAATAGTTATTTGGCATTCAGAGTCATAACTTTTCCTTACTTCAGGAAGCAGAATTCTTAAATTTTAAGCTTTAAGCTTTTACATAATTCTGTGCCTTTCTTGTTCTTTGACAAAAGGGAAATTGAAACCCCTTATTATCTTAGCCCTGGGCCTGATTGTTGTGAACTTTCTGATCCAGCCTGTCAACTAGATAAACCTGGCAATGATTCTAGCAGGTCCCTGGCACTGTGTATCATGTCAGAGGGAATGGAATGTATTAAGATTTTAGAAGAACAGACTTTTTAGGAACGTTAGAAACACTGTTTTCATATGTTACTTTTAGTTGTATAATGCAAGTACCTTAGAGACTAGTTGGAGTTTGTGAACTTAAAACTTTTGGAAAGCGTTTTGGAGAAGCCTATACAATTCAGACTTAATTGATTCATTTTAATTCAGCAATGTGCTGGGCACATTGCTAGACTTGAGATACTGCCCTTTCCAGTCTTGCAGTGAAGGCAGAGCAGGTAAACAGATGGATGTTTTGCCACCCAACAACAGAGCAAGAGAAGGGAGTAAAGAAAGCCTTCTTGGAGGTGACACTTGAGTTTTAAACTCTGAATAAGATTTTGCCAGAGTGATGAATTTGGCGGGGGTGGATGGGTGGGGTGCAGGGAGGGGTTGTGATTGCAAGAAGAAGAAAAAAATGCTTTTCAAAGACACTAAACCATAAAGCAGCATGGCTTGTCAGGGCACTATATGTGGTAAGGCAACACTGTAGGGTTATGGGAAGTTTTGTATACTGTACTGATAAGCCTAGACTTTATGCTGAAAGTAGTGTAAGTTATTGAAAACTTTTAAGCAAAGGGGAAATATGAGCAGATTTGCATTTTAGAAAGATAACGCAACATAGAGAATAGGTTAGAGCTGGAAGAGATGGCAAGTTTCTGGTTGGAATGTAAATGTTTTTATCCAGGTTGGGATGTTAAGAGTATGAACTGAGGCAGTGGCAGTGGCAGTGGAGATGATAAGAAATGGACAGATCTGAGAAGTGTGCAGAGGTGACACTTTCCAGAGATAGAAGGTCAGTAGGATTTAGTGATTTATGGTGAAGGAGAGAAAAGGAGTGGAAAATAGCTCCCAGGTTTCTGGCCCATGCCCTTGGATGTATGGATGGCACCCACTAAGATGGAGAACCCAGAGGGGAGAGCACATATGGATTAGAGGTGATGAGCTAAGTTTTAGACTTGCATATAAGGGGTCTCTGGTGCATCCATTTGGAAATGGGTGTGAGATTCTGGGCTTATGGATATGAGTGGTCCTACGAGGAGATACTGAGTATATGATTCTCAGCAGTGACAAGGATATGGGGTGGGGCGTGCAAAGCTCAGCAAAATATTCTTGGCTGTGAGGGATGAGAAAACATTGTAAGGGACATGGAGTATGAAAGATTGAGCAGCTCTGAGGTAGCATGAGGAGAGAGGCCCTTAGGAAAGAACCCTGAGGAACATTTGAGGGTGTAAGCAGAAGAAGGGGATCAAAGCAAAAGAGTAGTTGGAGTTAGGAGCAGTAGGAGAGAATGAAACTGCATAAGTGAAGAAGAAAGATGATTCCACAGAGGGGGTTTGTCAGCACTGTCAGGTGCTCCAAAGAGATGAGGGAGACAAGAAATGAGGGGACTCCACGACATTTATTTTCTGAGACAGTTGGGTTCCTTATGTTGAGAGCATTTTGGGGAGAGAGTTGGAGGCAAAAGCTAGATCGCAGTGGTCTGAGAGGGTAGTGCAGCAGAGGTCTAAAGTAGAGACAGGATCACAGAGGGAATGACTGCACACTTCAGTGGTCCTCTGTGAAGAGGAGCAACCTTGCTGACCTGGGCACACAAAGCTGTGCACTCTTACAGCAGCATTAACAGCCTGATTCAGACTGGACCCTTCCCTATTAGAATGCATTCCTCATATCAGTTCAATCAGTATTCTTAGAGTGTTTAACTTTATTCTTACATAAATGTAGACCTGAGGTAGGGAAACTCACCCCTGGAGAATCTGCTCATTTATACCAGCAGCCTCAGCTCTGTTGCAGCCCATCACATCACATAGCTCCAGGGGGCTCTTAATGGCCTTGTTATCTTCCCCCCTTTCCCTGAAGCCCACCTTTGAGACAACAGAACCACAGACAGAAGGAGGAGTAACAGAAGAAGGCTGGAAAGAGAGGAAACTAGAAACACTACGTCCTAAAAAGAAAGATACTGAGAAGATCAAATACACAATACAAAAGATAAAATATGCCTCTCTGTGTAACACCATCCTAAATTCTCTTGTTGTCTACCTATTGAAATGCCCAGGACCACAGGCTCCTTTTTTATCTGGTAACCACAGTGGGATTGCATATCCATGGGTAGTTCTACCTGTAAATAAATCATGCCCTGACTTTCCTGTTAAAAGAATGAGATAGTCTCTGACTGTGCCATGAAGGACTTAAAGTCTTGGTTTGTGGGCAAACTTTTTGAGAAGAATAGTAGGAAATAACATCGTTCTTTATTTATTTTATCTTCTTCAATTCTGCTAGTAGCCAAGTGAGGTAATCCTTTGCCTGAAATCTAGAAAACTCTGAAAATCCCTAGTGTTTTCATACTTCATTTGGTGACAATACTAGACCCAAACTGACATGAGGTTATTTACTGTCTTTATCCTTCTTACTTTTACTATTCATACATTTCACTAGAAAAATACTAGTATTACTTATTATACGGTATTGCTTCAGATCCTGCTGGAGATACTAGGTAACATCTGGTATCTGCAACATAACACCTTTCTAAAATCTGGAAAAAAAAAAAATTGGATTTCAAAACACATCTCTGTTCTGGGTAAGGTATTGTGGACCTGTATCCTCATTTCATTCATAATCAAGGGAACTGAGACTTCTGGTAGTTCAGTGAATCACCCAAGGAAAAGCAGCTAGTGTGGGGCAGAGTTATGATTCTGTCCTATGTTTGTGTGACTCAGAAGCCTGAGTTCTTCCCACTGTATCATTCTGCTTTTGTTTTCCTCTGACAACTGCACTGGACAGATTCATTTCACAATCAGTACTTGTTAGGCAACAGTGTCAGCCAGTGTGACCATGTATACAGTTGCTTCAAGATGCAGTTTACTGGCCTCGCTTTCTCTGGTTAAAACAGTGATCATTTTGTCACAGCTTTGAGAGTTTTGAGAGCTAATGTTCACCTTTTTTATCTGAAGGACTTCTCCTGAGGATATTTACATTAGTAAAGGACACAAGCTAAATGAAGACTTAGCATGGTAACCCTCAAAAGTTGCCAGTCATAGTGAATTATTTTGTAAAGTAGAACGTATCTCTTATTTTATTAATGTATATTTTCATTTTCACGTGCTTAGAATAAAGTATACTTATATTTATAACTCTGACGTCAGATTTTTAAAGTCTCTTTTAGCTCAGAGGCCTATGACCAGAAGATTGAGATCTTATGATATTTTTAAACATGGTCTTTAACTCATCAGGGAGAGCTAAGAATACAGACTTTAAGCCAAGAGTTGTAGATCCTTCTTTTTGGCCCAGACTAGTTTAGAGTATAATGAGATTTAGAACCTTCTGGTCACAGACTTCATTGCTGACAGGGACCTTTGAGAGTATTTAAGGACACCTTGCCCACATCTCAAAAAAAGAGATAATCAGGAGATCTAGAGAAGCTAATTTTGGGTTTAATTAAAGAGTCTCGTACAATCCTGATATTTGGTTTATACCATTTTAATAGTTCAAATGAGAAACCAGAAGTAGCTTATGTGGTATTTTGCTATGTAGGTTTATGTTAAGATTAAATTTTAATTTATCAAATAAACTTTGGTATGGTGTTTGGAGTCTTCAGGTTTCATTTATATTAAAGCATGTTTTATGTATTTATAGGAAATTTGTATTGCAAAGCATGATGAAAAATTCCAACAACGCCTTCGGAGTGAAGATGAATATAGAACCCATCACACAGTACAACTAGTAAGTTTGGACTTGGACTCTTGGAAACTTGGAACAAATTTTGTTTTTTTTGTTTGTTTTGTTTTTCTTGTATCAAAGTGATTAAAGTCTATAGAGAATGAAAAAAATCTTATAACTAGAAGATTTTTTTCTTTTAAATTACATTAAAAACCTTCTTCCACTCCCACTATTGATGCACCTCACTATGCCTATGGTATAAATACATAGTCCCAACAGTAGTCTTCTCAGGCACTTATGTCTTAGATCATTTAACACCAATAATTTTATACTTAATTAAATACTAATAGAAATGCTGGCATGACTATATCTCTGCATTTGCTCATTTTATAAATTATCTTTCTTTAGTGTTACATTAAAGGCCAGAGAGCCTAAATTTGTCTACATAATCACTTAAGCTTTTTCCAGTGTGTATTAACTAATGCTGCCCCTTAGTCTTGATTTTAAACACACAAAAGTCACCAAATTACTCATAAACTGTAAGATTCCTAGAAGCTGGAAATGGCCAAGTTAATTAATGCACTTTTATTATTCATTATAGTTTCCATGGATCAAAAACTGTTTTGTAAGGATAGACAAGGGGCCAGCATAACAATTAGGTGAATAATTATGCCCCCTAATGTCAAAGTTAGTTTGTTACTGAGATTCCACACTTAGAATTTGTTCCTTTTTTGTATGGAAGTTTTGGCTTCTGATGAAATGCTGATATTTTGGTGAATGAAGTGACTAATTCACTTTTTAGAATGAATATCGAGGCCTTTCCCAAAGAGTTTTATGGGGCAAATAGCAGTAAAAATGAGGAAATCGATGCTTAAGGGAATCTCAAAGGTAAATGCCATCTACCTTTCAGTTGCCTAATACCAGCACTGGATGGAATACCTAATTGTGGGAGGATGACTCCAGTAATCAGCTCAGTCATCTTTAACATGCTTAGCTAAAGGAAGATGAAAGTTGGCTTCAATCCACATAGATCATTGTTTTTCAAAGCTGGTTTTAAACTACCTTTATCAGAATCTCTTGGGTGGTGGCTTGTTTAAAATATAGACCCTAGATGTTATCCTTATTGTTTCAAAAATTTTCCCTGGAAATCCTTAAAAATTAAATACATATGTACGGCTGAGTAAGTTTATTTTAGTATTTGATAGTAAACTCTCAAAAACAAAATATTTTTGGTTAATGACAATGTAAAGATTATTTGCTTGTTACTACTACTGTTTTTTATTAGCTCAGGAACAAATTAGACAAGAGAAATGGTGGTCAGGAAACCAGTCCATTTTCCCCATTAAAAAAGGGATTCTTGTTTTATGTAACACACTCATAACTTATGGGTTTCATTTCAGGAAAGCACATATGGAACACCTTTAAGCCGTAGTATATAGAAACTGTCATCAGAGCTTTTTAGATTATTTTGCTCCCATGGCTACTTTTGATACTGCCTATGTCTTCCATGTTCTGATATGTACCATGTCCAATCATTGGCTGTTCTCATTTTCTTAAAACAATACTTTTTTATAAGAACTTTTTATTGAACATCATACACATACAGAAAAGTATACAAGTCATAAGTGTATATAATTTGACAAATTTTCACAAGATGAACCCACCTTTGCGACCAGCACCTAGGTGAATAAACAGAATGTTAGAAGCCCAAAACCCCTTGTGTTCCCATTCACAATTTACCTCCAGTAAATTAACCTCATTTTACAGAGTTGTTAAATGACTTTCCTAAGGCCATCCAGCTAGTAAGGGGACATCTGACATTCCAGCATAGGTCTGTATATTATTGGCTAGGCTCTTAAACATGATACTGTGATACTATCGCCCGCTCTATAAAAATTCTGCTTCCCCACGCAAGCTCATCAGTTCATGCGTCAGTAGTCTGAACCTTTGTCCTTCTGTTTCTGTCTGTGATCTCTGAGGATCATACTAAGATCTGACTCTGTGTTTACCAGCCGACAGATCAGTAGTATGATTAATTAGTTCATTTATGTCTTAAAGATGCAAATTCATAGTTTAGAAACTCAAACTAAGCATCTCTTAGATCCCTTTTTTTTTTCTCAACAACTGAACACTAATACTTCTAAGTATAGAAAAATCCATTCATCCCTAGAGTCACTCTACAAGCCTTAGACTCTTTGTCCTCTTGGTATCTGTGACATGCATCCAGATGTGGGAAGGCGCAAGCTGACTCCCGAATCTAGGTGGTTACCAGATGTACACATGAGGTTTTTGTAGTCCCTTCTTTTTGCCAACTCAGCTGGGAAGTTTGCACATTCCAGCTGTGCAAACAGAAGGGAGGATGGGCTGAGGGCAAGGAGGTGGGATATATTCTTGCTCACTGTGTCCTTGAGCCATTCTGAGCTCTGCCTTCTAAAGGAGGAGTCCACATGGAACCTTTATGTCTGTTACTAATGCAGAGCTCAGCTCATATCTTCTCTTTATTATCCCATCAGGAAACCTTTAAGATTATATAGCAAGTCTTCTGGCTTCTAGGATTATTACTGAGAGATGCCTAATTTTGTATTTGCTAACAGATGGTCTTTGAGAACTCTTAAGACCTTTCCTTAAAGAATTCTTTAGAAGCAAATGGTGTTTTTGACCTTCTGTAAGAGGAGGAAATGGGAAGATGTTCATCTTTACTGAATCATAACTCCTTTCCCCTTTGCCGTAAATCCAAGGGCTAATCTGCATCCAAAGAATCCAAGCCACCTCATCAAGAGACAGAAAGTGAAACTGATCTCTCCTCTGTATGATAGTTACATCCCCTCGATGGGACAGGTTGACTCAAGTGGCACTCTTTAAGGCATTTCCTAATCTGCCAACTACAGAGAGTCACCCATCCTTCAGCCATACTATAATAAAACACCACTACCACTCTTCATCCTTCTGCCAAGAATTCTACTTTAGTCCTTAACACTGTTCTCAGTTTAACTTCTTGTAGCATATGGCTGCACAATTTCTCAAGAAACCTATTTATATATGGGTTAAACCTGAATTTTTGAAAATAATTTATCCCAACTCTCTTTTTTGCCACAAATCCAGGTTTAATACGTGTCTTAATACCTCATTGGATTGCTTCTCCTCCCTACTTCCCAGTCCCAAACCTCTTTCCTCTTACATTCCCAATCCGGGTTAATGATACTACCATCCACCAAATATCAGCCAAGTTAGATAACTTGAATTTCTTTTTCTTAAAACCTAACCAGGGTCAGGTTTATCCCTTGGTGCTTGACCAAAAAAAAAAAGCCAAACTTGTTGCCAAAGAGTCGATTCCAACTCATGTTACAAAGTAGAAAACCATAGGGTTTTCTTGGCTGTAATCTTTATGGAAGCAGATCCCCAGCCCTTTCTTCTGTTGGCAACACTGGGTGCGTTCAAACCACCAACCTTTAGGTTAACACCACACGGTATACCCTTCAGCGTTCATCTTTGTAGTTGCTTACATGTCTGTCTGACATGCCCATCCCCTCCCCACCTCCACTTAGACATTCCTGCTTTTTTTTCTGGTGGTTAATCTACTGCTAGTTTTGTTAGATAAGCAATACATATTTGATGAAAGAATGGAATTTCTTTCTCTTAAGCAGCCTTTTCCCTGCTATATTACTGTCTTTGATGGTATTTTAATGTGCTATATTATTCTTTTCCTACTCTTTGATCTTAAAATGTTTCCTGCTTTTTATTTAGTATTTTCTAATTTAGTTCTACTATCTAAGCAAGTTGATTTTTTTTCCAGAAGATATGAGTATCTTGACGTTTGTGTATAAATTTTGATCACTTATCAGATTTAAAAAAAAATATCCTAAACAACATTTTGTTTCTTCACTGTTGCTTTTTAAATCCTCTTATTATGAGTAGTTCTAATTAGTGGCTTGCAAAAATGTTTCTCAATCATTTCGGTATTTAAAAAGAAAAAGACTCATTGTTTTTATAAACAGTTACATGACCATTATGAGAGATTAAAGCAATAAAGACAAAATTATAAAGAAAGTTTAAAAAAAAATCAACCTCAAAATGTGAGACTTTACTTTAACCAGAGAACTCAGTGAGTCTGAAAAACCTACTGAAATTTAGATAAATTTCTTGACAAGAAGATTTGGAAAAACATTGAGTGTTGGGAGCATAATTTTAAAATTGTTTTTCAACTTTAGACTCATGTTATGAAAGATGGAGAAATTATTGCCTTTACACGTTATCCCAACTCTTTTTTCCCTCCACCTCCCAATATGTTATAAACCTTCATGATGTAAAGATAATTATATATCTTGTATATTCTTTGTCAGGAGCTTGAGTGACATAAGCAGTTTGTAATAGGCTACTATCCTAAAGGTTGACAGTTCAGCTCAATGGAAGAAAGTCCTGGCGAATTGCTTCTGTAAAGATTATGATCAAGAAAACCCTATGGAGCAGTTCTGCTCTGTAACATGGGATTGCCATGAGTCAGGGCTTGAATCGACAGCAGTTGACAACAACAACATATTCTTTGTTCTATAGTTATAGTTTCCAAAGTTGTTTAATATAACCTGTTATATTTGAGTGGATTCAATACTTAGTTCCAGTCCTCTTAACACAACTTCTGTATTCTGATTCATCTCAGAGTTCATTAAATGTCGTTATAAGGTACCATTTTCAGGAAAGTTTCATGGTTGCTGTATTTTCAGAGTTCTGGCATGTTTTGGAAATATCTATATGTTTCCTTCATACTTAAAAGGACAGTTTGGCTGGTCGTATTTCCTCTCTTTCAGTATTTTGGAGGACATTGCTACACTATCTTGTAGCACTGAATGTTGTAGTGGAGAGGTCTGAGGCCTCCCCACCACCCCATAGGAGACTTCATTTTTCTCCCTGGGTACCCATAAGAGTCTGTCTTTATCCTTGAAGTCTAGTAACTAGTAACTTTACTAGGTGATCATTCTGATTCAGGTTTTCCTGAAACTAAATGTACCCTTTCAAACTGAAGATTCAAATCCTCCTTTATTTCTTTAATAATACTTCCGAATAATTTTTCTGAACCATCTGTTATGTTCTCTATTTAAACAATATCAGTAATATCCACATCAGATTCTTAGCCTGATGTTATCTTCTAGCTAATTAATTTTTGTTGCTGTTCTTTTTCGTTTCATTTTGTGTGATTTCTTCAAGCATGGCCAGTTTTCAAACATGTCTTCTGTTGTGGCTTTCATGTATAAGTCCCATTCACCCACCCCCACCATGTATAGACCACCCTCCAATCACATGCCATTTCCTTTCCGTTTCTCATCTTGTAATGGTGGGAGGGAGAAGCTGGGGCAATCTACTGTTAAGTTGAGATTTGTTGTTCTGAACAACCTGTCCCTACTTAGAGGGACGCCTCTCCGCATGTGGTTCCCATGTGATTCACAGAAAGCCATTGCATCATAGGCGGCTGTGTTGATACTTGAAAATCATTGCGTACCTTACGTCCTTCACCCCACCTCACAACTGCACTCTCTCGGAGACAGGGAGGAGATATTGAAAATAAAGATAATACTTTTGTATTGCTCCTCCTCCTTTAGCTACACACATCCTGTGGTCTGGAATCAGAGGTTTACAGGAACATTCTTGGCTTCACCTATGGCCAGCTCTTGTGCCTCAGTTTTATCACTGATCAAAATGGATGGGGTTTTCAGGACTGTGACTGTGACATTGATTTTTTTTAGAGAACTCTGTCTTATATCAGAGGTTCGAAGATGGCTCTTAGGACCCTTCTTCATTTTTATCAAAATTTCATTATATTTGGCAGGTATTTGCTAACTTGTGGCTTGAGGTTGGTATTATTTTCTTTTTTTATTTGAAGATAGCATTTTCTTCTCTAATTTTCATTATTTATGTTTTCGATTGGTATCAAGGGAAAAGAAAAGAGTCAAAAAATGTCTTTATTCCATAATCTTTTATTAGAAGATCCCCTCCCCATACTTCATGGGCATTCAGTGAAATCATTTTTCTTAAAGCAGTTCACCTAAATGACCTGAAGAATTATAGTGTCATTGCTGTGGAAAAATTGTGTTCATTTTTATTAATGTATTTCTTACCTTATGCTTCTCTATTACTTTGGGTACAAGCTAATTTATTTCAGCTCCGACTGAGAGCTATTTCAAATTCTTATGTTAGTATATAGTGCGGTTTTGCATCTTTATGTGCAGATATTATGCTATTAAATAACATTTTATTAAAAAATAATTAGCCCGTCGCACATATTTATTTTTCCATTTCCTCTCTCCCTGGCCTCCTTATCCATCCTCCTTTTCACATTTCTAAGGAATGAAAGAAAACTAGGAGACCTCTTTGTCATCTTCTTTTCCTACGTTTTGATATAATCCAAGGCAAATGTAGCAATAACTCTCATTTGAAATCATTGTCCAAGGAATAGCTGATGGGCAAGAGGAAAGAGGTGCTAGGATAAAAGAATTGGAAAAGGGCAGTAGAAGTATGGGATGAGAGACGAGGTAGTGACATACTGGAGGCCACCCTTATCACTCAAGTTGACACATATTTCTTGGGGGACACAATTCAATCCATGACATTCCACCTTTTACCCTCTCCCCCCCATTCATGTCCTTGCCGCATGTAAAAAAAAAACACTTTCACCCCGTCATATCATCCCAAAAGTCTTAAACCAACTCCAAGTCCAAATTCCATCCTGGGGCAAAATTCCTCTTCATCTGTGAACCTGTAAAATCTAGAATGCAAGTTCTCTGCTTCCAAAGTACAATGGTGGAACAGGCCCAAGGTAGACATTTCCATTACAAATGGTAGAAATTGAAAGGAAAGAAGGAATAATGGGCATCTCCATGTGAAATTACCTGGGTTTATGGAAGGTGTCTCTAATTTTTTAAAACAAAGCAGCAGTAACTCATTTACCTGTCTAGGAAGCTTTTTTAAATTCATTTAACTTCTATGTTTATTTTGCCAAATAAGATTTTTATTAGAGAGCTTTCAGGTGATTCAACAATATGGGTAAAGTTTAAAATATCTGGAGATTACTGAGTGTGGCATTAAACCAAATGATTCCTGGATAATGCTAGAAGTATGTGTTTTCAAACTGGGTATATTGGTTAAAGTAATGTGTAATAACTAAATTACTAATCAAGTGGTTGCTGATTTTCATCAAGTGGTCAGCTATTTGTGTTAGCAGAATATAGCAGCTAAAAGTATTTCCTACTCAAATTGTTTAAGCTAGAACCCCAATTATAAAGCATTTTTTAATTCAAAAAAGATTTCATTTTATTTTATAAGGTAGCATCTTAAATTGTGAGTAAATGCAGAAGAATGAAACAGTATTTTCATCAGCATCAGTGTAAATTTTTAAGTGATGATTTCTATTAAAAACTGATACTGTTTCTTGCTGTAAAACGTATCATTCTCTGGAGTCATTCAGTTTACATATTGGGAGAGCTCTCTTTTTTTTTTTCTAATGGCAAAAATGAATCAGATGCATCATAATGGAATTATTACTAATTTTTTACCAGAAGAGAGAAAAATTACATGATGAAGAAGAAAGAAAAAGTGCCTGGGTTAGCCAAGAAAGACAGAAAACACTGGATAGACTTCGAACATTTAAACAGGTAATAAAAGCATGGTCAGTTTACTGTTTTTTGTTGCTTTTTAAACAGACTGCCATCTCAGTTTCTTAGTGCTGCTGTAACAGAAATACCACAAGTGAGTGGTTTTAAGGAACATAAATTTATTTTCTCACTGTTAGGTGTCTGGAAGTCTGAATTCAGGGTCCACCTCTAAGGGAAAATCCTTGTCTCAGCTTCTCTAGCATTCTTCTTGGTGTTCCTTGGAGATCTGTACATGGCATCTATCTTTCCCCTATTCATGCTTACTTGTCTCTGTGCGTTATCTGCACTTTTTATATCTCAAAAGCGATTGGCTTAATTGGATCTAACAGACATATATAGAACACTCCACTCAGCATCAGAACAATACACATTCTTCTCCAGAGCACATGGATCATTTTCCAGAATAGACCGTACGCTAGGACACAAAACAAATCTAAACAAATTTGAAAAGATTGAAGTCATACATAGCATCTTCTCTACCCATAAGAGTGTAAAGCTTGAAATCAACAACAGAAAAAAATAAATAAATACGTGGAAACTAAATGAGAAGAAACAGCTACAAACACATGTTAATAATTGTAATGTGGAATATACGAAATATGAATATAGGAAAATTGGAAGTAGTCGAAAATGAAATGGAACATATAAGCATCAATATCCTAGGCATTAGTAGGCTGAAATGAACTAGTAATGGCCATTTTGAATCAGTCATATGGTTTACTTTGTGGGGAATGACAAATCCTAGAAATCAACAGCATAAAAAATAAATAACGTGGAAACTAAATGAGAAGAAACAGCTACAAACATGTATTAGTAATTGGAATGTGGAATAGATGAAGTATGAATGTAGGAAAATTGGAAGTAGTCAAAAATGAAATGGAATGCATAAGCATCAGTATCCTAAGCATTAGTAAGCTGAAATGAACTAGTAATGGCCATTTTGAAACAGACAGTCATGTGGTCTACTTTGCGAGGAATGACAAATTGAAGAGGAATGGCATCCCATTAATAGTCAAAAAAAATTGCAAGATCTATCCTGAAGTACAGTGCTGTCAATGATAGGATAATATCCATAGTCCTACAAGGATGACAAGTTAATACAACTATTATTCAAATTTAAGCTCCAACCAGAGGCCAAAGATGAAGAAATTGAAGATTTTTACCAATTTCTGCAGTCTTAAATTGATCAAACATGTAGTCAAATTGCATTAATAATTACTGGTGATTGGAATGAGAAAGTTAGAAACGAAGAGGATCAGTAGTTTGAAAATACGGCCTTGGTGATAGAAATGACCCTGGAAATCGCATGATAGAATTTTGCAAGACCAACAACTTCTTCGTTGTAAATACCTTTTCAACAACATAAACATACACATGGACCTCACCAGGTGGAAAACACAGGAATGAAATCGACTACATCTGTGGAAAGAGATGATGGAGAAGCTCAATATCATCAGTCAGAACAAAACAAGGTCAGGGGCCAGCTGCAGAACAGACCATCGATTGCTCATATGCAGATTCAAGTTGAAGCTGAAGAAAATTAGAACAAGTCCACAAGAGCCAAAAGTACGACCTTGAGTATATCCCACCTGAATTTAGAGACCATCTCAAGAATCGATTTGACACATTACATGCTAATGATCGAAGACCAGAAGAGTTTTGGGTAACATCAAGGATATCACACATGAAGAAAGCAAAAGTTCATTAAAAGATAGGAAAGAAAGAAAAGACCAAATGAATATCAGAAGAGACTCTGAAACTTACTCTTGAAGATGGAGTAGCTAAAGCAAATAGAAAAAATGATGAAAGAAAAGAGCTGAACAGAAGATTTCAAAGGGCAGCTTGAGAAGACAAAAGTAAAGTATTTTAAAGAGATGTGCAAAGACCCCAAGTTAGAAAACCAGAGGAAGAACATGCTCAGCATTTCTCAAGCTGAAAGAACTGAAGAAAAAATTCAAGCCTCGAGTTGCAATTTTGAAGGAATCTGTGGGCAAAATATTGAACAACAGGAAGCATCAAAAGAAGATGGAAGGAATGCACAGAGTCACTGTATCAAGAAGAATTGGTAGATGTTCAACTATTTCAAGAGGGGTAGCATATGATCAGGAACCGATGGTACTGAAGGAAGAAGTCCAAGCTGTACTGAAGTCATTGGAGAAAAACAAGGCTTCAGGAATTGACAGAATACCAATTGAAATGTTTCAACAAATGATGCAGTGCTGGAAGCACCTGCTTATCTGTGCCAAGAAATTTATAAGGCAGCTACCTGGCCAGCTGACTGGAAGAGATTCCATATTTATGTCCATTCCAAAGAAAAATGATCCAACAGAATGTGGAAATTATCAAACAATATTGTTAATATCACACATAAGTAAAATTTTGCTGAAGATCATTCAAAAGTAGTTGCAGCAGTACATCAACAAGGAACCAGCAGAAATTCAAGCCAAATTCAGAAGAGGACGTGTAACGAGGGATATCGTTGTTGATGTCAGATAGATCTTGGAGGGATGTCATTGCTGATGTCAAATGTATCGTGGCTGAAAGCAGAGAATACAAGAAAGATGTTTTCCTGTGTTTTATTGACTATGCAAAGGCATTCGACTGTGTGGATCATAACAGATTATGGGTAACATTGCAAAGAATGGGAATTCCAGAACACTTAATTGTACTCATGAGGAACCTGTACATAGATGAAGAGGCAGTCGTTTGAAGAGAGCAAGGGGATACTGTGTAAAGTCAGGAAAGGTGTGCATCAGGTTTGTATCCTTTCACCATACCTATTCAATCCATATGCTGAGCAAATAGTCTGAAAAGCTGGATTATTTGAAGAAGAATGCAGATTAAAGTAGGATTGGTGGAAGACTTATCAGCACCCATGGAAACAGCAGTCAAGAAATCAAGTGATATATTGCATTGGGCAAATCTGCTGCAAAAGACCTCTTTAAAGTGTTCAAAAGCAAAGATGTCGCTTTGAGGACTAAGGTGTGCCTGACCCAAGCCATGATATTTTCACTTGCTTTATATGCACGTGATAACTGGACAATGAGTAAGAAGACCAAAGAAGAATTGATGCCTTTGAATTGTGGTGTTGATGAAGAATATTGAATATACCATGGACTGGCAAAAGAACGAACAAGTCTGTCTTGGGAGAAGTACAACCAGAGTGCTCCTTGAAAGTGAGGATAGTGAGACTTCATTTCGCGTACTTCGGACGTGTTATCCAGAGGGACCAGTCCCTGGAGAAAGACGTTGTGCTTGGTCAGGTAGAGGGTCAGCATAAAAGAGTAAGACCCTCAATGAGATGGATTGACACAGTGGCAGCAACAGTGGGCTCAAATATAGCAACAATTGTGAGGTTGGCACAGGACCAGGCTGTGTTTCATTCTGGTGTACATAGGGTCGCTGTGAGTTGTAACTGACTTGATGGCAGCTAACAACAAGTAAAATTAGTAGTGTCTGGGATCTTAAAAGCTTCCAAGCAGTCATCTAAGACAAAACTATGGGTCTCTACTCCACCAGGAGCATAACAGTAGGAAGGTAGCCAAAAGCTCAGAGGAGAAAGTCTACATGAACTACAAACCTCATCTACCCTGAGACCAGAAGAACTAGATGGTGCCTGGCTACTACCACTGACCATTCTGACTGGGGTCACAACAGATGGTCCTGGATTGAATGAGAAAAAAATGTGGAGCAAAACTCAACTTTTATTTTTAAAAATAAGAGGCAGACAACCTGGAACAGTAGAGAACACAGGACTCCATGAGACAATCGTCCTGAGACATTCTTTAAACCTAGAACCAAGCCTGTCCCCTGACATCACCTTTTAGCAAAATAGCAGAGTGGCTGGCATGCAAAATAATGGTTATTATCCATAAGATCATCAGTGCTTTGCTTGAAAACCATCAGTATGAGACCGAAAGGTCAACAATTACTCAAAAACAAAGATGATAAAGGGGCAGGGAAACTAGAGTACTGGAAATGGAACAAACAGAACACAGTTTAAGAGACTGTTGACGCATTGTGACAAATGAAACTAATGTCACTGAACAATTTGTGCAGAAATTGTCAAATGGGAACCTAACTTGCTGTGTAAACTTTCACCAAAAACTCAATAAAATATTATTTAAAAAAAAAAAAAGAAGTGATTGGCTTAAGACACACTCTTTGCTGATATGGCCTCATTCACATAATAAGGAAAAACTGTTCTCAAGTGGGATTATATCTACGGGTGTAGGGGTTAGTATTCTGACACATATTTGAGGGGATCAGGGACACAATTCAATCCATAACAACTACATACATACTCCTATTGTAGGATTTCTTTGTATGAGGAGACCTTGTTTTCCCCTTGTAATTATTATTTAGAAAATATTATACACATGGCAGTCTTTGTTTTGTTTTGACTGCATGGCATCCTTTCCTCTGGTTGTTTTCAGAGAATTAGTGTTCTTGTGATACTTGGTCCGTGGCTTCAGTAATATAAGAGTGTAAGATCAAGGCCTCTGGAAAGCCTGGACTCTTCTTGCATTTTATAAAAAGAGTCAGTCCACAATAGACTATCCAGCTCAAGCATCAACTTGTTATTAATTCCATATACATCAATTCTGGTAGTAATATATGCATACAACCAATGACAGAATTAGAGGATGGATCAACATACATGAGGAATGCTTCTGCTTCCCCCAAGGGAAATGCTTCCCTTGCCAGGCTAACCCATGACTCTGGCATTGATAGCACAGCATCTGAACATCTCCCTGGAACTGTCCTTAAGCCATATGGTTCTAGTTATTAAAGTGTTCCAGAGCTTTGTTTTAATTGTGCAGTGGGATCACCTTATAGATGAAGTAGTTTAGGATTGAGTCTTCTTAGTACTACAGTTAAAAAAAAAAAAACAAGTTTAGATAGGGTCCAAGACTAGATAAGCATGTGTTGAGTAAATGTTGTCTACCAAGTAGCATTAAAGCTAGATTTTGCTATAGTAAAAGATATAAAAAGAAAGTTCTTTATATATAAGTACTCCAAAAGATTTTATCTCCTCTCTTATTATACTATCACAAATGCACATTATTATTATCAGAGTTTTTTTTTAATGCTAAATAACCTTTTAAAAAAACATTAAGATTTTATCTGCAACCATTTGAAAATACATTAAGGTAACTAGTAATAGTTTCTTAAGCTACTCTTATGCACAAAGTTATGTATTTTTGGCATAGTTTAAGTTTTATGTACTACATTGCTTTTTATTTTTTCTATATGAATTAGTAATTTTACTCATTAAAGAATTTTTTTTTTTATCATATAGTAATTTTGAACAGTTGACTTTTTTAACTAGATAAGAAAGGACAAGGCCTTAATAAAGGATTTGATGATGAATAAGTAATAAATGGTTTGATGACAAGTGTGACTTTGGATTTTTTAGAGGTACCCCGGGCAAGTCATACTTAAATCAACCAGATTGCGACTGGCTCATGCAAGAAGAAAAAGCACAGCAAGTCCAGTGCCCTGTGAGGATCAGTGTGACTCTCTACCAGGAGCACTACAGGTAGAAGAGAAAACTGAAGAGGTGGAGGAAGGAAGAGGCAATCTTGGGTCATCACAGACAACAGAACCCCAGAGCCTTGCACAGCTTGAAGATACTTCATTAGCACAACTTGAAGCCACTTCATTACCTCTCAGTGGTATTACCTCTGAACTGCCTCCCACTGTATCTCTCCCACTTTTCACTAATAATGACCTTGAACCATGTTCTCTTACCATAGATCCACTCCCACCACCTCTTCCTCCAACACCACCTCCCCCACCGCCACCTCCTCCCCCTCCCCCACCACCACCACCTCTGCCTGTTGCTAAGGACAGTGCCCCAGAGACACTGGAGAAAGGTCTGCCTAGAATGGAGGGGAACGAGAACAGGATCCCCAAGTCTGCGAGTATCCCCTCAGCACACCTCTTTGACAGCAGCCAGCTGGTCAGTGCCAGGAAGAAGCTCAAAAAGACTGCCGAAGGTTTACAGAGGAGGAGAGGTAATTTTAAAAGCTATTTTCATGGTCATCTGTTACATAAAGTGAGAACTTTATATTTCATAGGCACTTACAAAGTTTAAAACATCCTGTTTTTGAACATTATTTGATAGCAAACAGACAGTTTTTTAATACTTCAACAGAGGAGAATTCTTACCAACCCACATCAACAAACAACATCAGAAATGGGTACCTTCTTGAGCTGTTGTCAAGCATTTTACAAAAATGTGTCTTCTGTAGTGATACTTGATCTATTTGATAATGCTTAGTGGTGACCCCTTTTTGGTCAGAAAAACATTCTGATCTTAAACCTGGAAAGCATAATAAGAAAGTTACATCAGAAAGGATAATTCACCTGGTCTGGACTGTCATGCTGGAAAGACATTGGCAAGACCGTGTAACACTTGATCACATGTTTATTGAGGACCTCTGCTTTGTGTAAAGAAGGAAAGAGGAATAGGGCATAATTTGTGCAGTTTATTGCATCTCAGGTATTCCTCAATAAAGCTTTTTTTTTAAAAAAAGAAAAATCCATGTCCTTGAGAAACTTTCAGCTTGCATGGGGAGAAAATTATATATTCACATGTAAAACAACTAAATGAAAAATGCATAGTCACCAAAATGAACCAAAATTTAATTTTTTTAATTAAATGTATAATCCAGTCACTGTCTGAATTTGGAGATTGAACTAGTAATGGAAATCCTTTAGGAGTCTCACTCATGACATTACTGAGACAACTTCCAGTTCCCGATCTGCTCTCTTTTTTCCACATGGGAAATGATGGGAATGCCAACAATGCCAGACATGGAATTTGAGTCTTGGGGTTTTCTTTAACAAGGGTAAATAACTAGGATCCCCTCTGCTCTGGCATACACTTCATGATCCTTTTTGTAGATGGCATTTTCATTGTCCTGGGCTATCATAGTCTAAAACTCTAGAGGTTGTACAGTTTGACTGTAAGTGCAATCCTAACTGTTAACTGTTCTGTTTCATTTTCCAAAGTGAGCTCACCCATGGATGAGGTGCTAGCTTCCTTGAAGCGTGGTAGTTTTCATCTGAAAAAGGTTGAACAGCGAACTCTGCCTCCTTTTCCTGATGAAGATGATAGTAATAATATCTTGGCACAAATAAGGAAAGGGGTAAAACTGAAGAAGGTACAGAAGGAAGTTTTGAGAGAATCCTTCACACTTTTGCCTGATACGGACCCTCTAACACGGAGCATCCATGAAGCTCTTAGAAGAATTAAAGAAGCATCCCCTGAGTCAGAAGATGAAGAGGAGGCTTTGCCTTGCACAGACTGGGAAAACTAACAAGTAAATGGCCTTATTTTCTTCAGTAGCATTTAGTGGTATGGCTTTTATACCGGAAGATGGAGTCTTTTATTTTTTATTGAGTCCAAGGCATATTGTTTAACCATACAGCTCAATTGCGCATGGATCATAAATTTGTAAACTTGAGGTTTTACATAGTACCGCAGTTCCTAGAAACTTAAAATAACAGAAAAACACTTTTCAAGGAGTATTACTATATAAATGCTATAATTTTTATATCCTGCTTTTTCAGCATTTCTGCAGTACACCTGTATCTCAAGTAGTAGGGGTCTTATTCTAGTCTTAAAGAGCAGAAAAGGGCTTTTTATATTTTTTTAGTTACAAACTGATATGCATATTGAATTTTGATTTCTTATTAGCTGCCCACAGGGAGTTTTCTAAGATCAGTCAAGATAAAGTGTTGTCTTTTCTGATTATTAAGCTTTCTAAACCTTTAAAACTGCAAAAGCTTGTCATAGTTACTGCATCATCTAGATAAATTTGCAACTAACCTAATAAATACATAAAAATTTGATGCAGATCCTAATGAATATCCCTGTGGTTATTAAGATCGTTTTTGGTTACACATGTGCTGTTTTCTTAAGATGGTAGAAATTTGTACTCCATCACATTTTAATAAGACACTTATAGAATAATGTGGCACAAATTATGTTAAATATATAAAATCAGTGAAGATGATAACCTGCTATAAAGTAAATAGTATATAGAATTGGTGTGATTCAAAACTGAAATGTTATAATTAAGTATGCAAAAATGTTCTGTTATTATGATTTTTTGATGGAATATGTTTCTCTGGGCTTCACAACATTCAACAAAAGAGGAATGACTCTTAGTCCTGGAGGAAGTAAGGGAAGGAATAATTAACTTACTCATTAGCACAGTGATTCCTCAACTTGCCTAATTATGAGAATTACCTGGGGAGCTTATTAAAATCTTCCTCGCCCTGACTCCAAAGACTCAGAATGAGTCAGTCTGCTGTGAGTTCTGGGTATATACCTGCCCAGAAAAAGCTAAGTGCATGGGTCTATCAGGAAAATCTTACTCTAGGCCTGCCCCCCACTCCCACCTTCCCTGGTCCCACCAGTATCTGCCCCAATAGTAGCTTAAAAGAAAGGGTGAAAAATCCCATACCTTTAACATGGTTCAGCCAACATTCCACAGTACCGCTATCCTACTGTGGGTCTTAGGGTGTTTATATCCCCTTTTCCTGTTAAGTATACCAAAAAAAAAAAAAATCCACTGCCGTGGATTCCAACTTAGAGTTAGGCCCTAATTATCAGTCACATTACATGACTGATTTTTGATCCCGAAATAATTTAAACCAGTTGTACATACATATGAACATATGTGCACTGTCCCTTGCAGAATAATGTAAATATATCAGTGTGTCTACTCCATGTGTGAATGTGTCTAAAGACCCAGGTGTGTCTGACTCAGATTCTTTTCCACACTAGATGTTGATAGATTGTCTCCCACTTTACAGTTCTTGCTACCTATTGTGCTATCTCCTTCTGCTTGTAGCTGCTCAGTGTGCTGCTAAGCATGTGCCTAAAACTACCATCCTAGTGCTGATTGGTCAGTTCCACCGCTGGGCAGTCACATGAACTTGTGTTTAGTCCTTTCAATACAGCTGGCTTGTAGTGGCCTCGTCGGGGTGCATGGCACATCAGCAGCTGCTTAGGCCCGCTTGTCCCTGTCTGTTTTCTCTCATCTCTCCAGATCCTGCCCAACACATTGACATTGCACCAGCATTTCTTATGGTCAAGTGGCTGGGATTTTTTTTATAGCTTCTGGCTGCTAATTCAGCCTTTATATCAGATGTTAAGCATGCAGTGCATGATCTATACCACTTTGAAAGTTGCTTAAACCTTTTTTTTTCTGGCTGGTTGTTTATGGCTGGTGTAGTACAATGTTGAGAGAAACAATGGAACACTCCTAGGTAATGGATGAGCTCAGATATCTACAAAGTCGTTTTAAAAGACTGAATTTGTCCGAGGCCAGGGGCAAACCATAGACGAGTTGCAGTCTCCACCATCTGAGCAGGTAGTATTGAAGGACTGTATATATCACTGCTTCATAGTCCAGATAATAATTTTCAAAGCTCTGACCTTTTAGATAATTCTCTATAAATTTGTTGAAAAGGCTGTAGTTTTTATTTTCTATTAATTTAATATAGTTCTTTCTTGTAGTTTTTAAAATCATTCAGGTAATTGCATTCTTTTTTATAAAAGAGCCAATTTCTCAAAACTTTATGAAGCAAAAAGTGAAGAAGGACCCCTGTTCTGCCTGCCCCCACCCCTTGAAAACTTTTCCCAGAGATAGCCATAGTTAATAGTGTTTTTCAAGGGGGTTTTCTAAACATAAGTAAATGTATATAAGTATAGAGACTTTCTTTAAAGTTTCCAATTTGTGGATTCTTTCTTAAACCTATTGAGTAACCATAACAGCTCTAATAGAAATATAATGTGAGCCACACATGTAATTTTTATCTTTTCTAATGTTTATTTAAAAGAGTAAAAAAAAAAGATAGAATTGATTTTAGTAATATTTTATTTCAAAATGTAATTCATATTTTAAAAATAAATGGCATACTTTACTTTTTTTTGTACTAAGTATTTGAAATCCAGTGTCTGTTTTACACTTACTGCACATCTCGATTCAGATACTAAATATCTCGATTCAGATACTAAATATGCAGTGGTTAAAGTGAGAAGTCCTATCAAAACAATGAAGTTGTATTTAATGAAAAAATATTTTATATTCATATTTTTTAATTTAAATTAAATGAAATAAAAATTAGTTGCTTAGTCACACTTGCCACATTTCAAGTTCTCAATAGCCATGTGTAGATACAATCTTAGACAGTGCCAAACTATAATAAATTGGTAACTTATTCATGTGCATGTCAGCTTTTACTTGATAAGTAGGTCTTTCATGTATATGCTACTTTGTCACTGATAAGCTCATAGATCTCAAACACAACTACTGTGAATAAAAAAAAGTCTTGACAAAGCATCCATTTAAAGACCAGTATTAGCCTTGTCTCCTAGGACTGTAAAAACAGAAATGCTGTCTCTAGTGAATTTTAAAGATACCACTTAATAGTTCTTGTAAGTTCATGGCACAGTTAATGAGGCAAACATTTTAGATTGTATTTACCTTTTTAGTATATACTGTTTGACATAAAATATTATAGTAAAAACAATAAAGGTGAAAATACATCTAACATACAACCTTTTAACAGTGATCAAAATCTTTCTTCAATTTATTTTCATTTTTTTTGCTTTAAGAATATGAATGTATCCTTTAAAAAGAAGTATTCCTGTACACCATTCTTTATAAATGACCATGTATAAGAAAATTTTAACTTGGGCACAAAAAACCGTCAGTGTTCATTCAACCTGGGTATTGCAAAGAGTGGGAGGGGGTATATATACACATTATCTTTGAAAGGTCACCTTTTTTAATACATTGTATCATTTTGTTTGTAAACAGGTGACTTAATAAAAGAAGAAAAATACCTACAGCTGAAGATCAGTCCTTATTCTTTTGGAGAACAACATTTTAAACACTTGATTCCACAATTGCATTCCATTGGATCAGTGGAATTGTATTGACTCAGTGATGTGAAAAAAAAAGGAAGCACAATGGGCAGGTTATCGCTTTTCCAGTCATTCCAGTAGATAGTGGTTAGCATAAATTTTAGATGTGCAGTGTTCCTGACTGCTATGAAGAAAAGGCCTTCTGGAGATTCCTGGTTTTTAAGCACCTCTCCCTCTCCCCTCTTCCTCCCCCTCCCTATCCTAGTAGTGCCCAGTTGACCTAGGGGTTCACTATGAATTGGAAGAACACTGGGTTGACAGAGATCTACTGTGAGCTGTATTGGGACTGCTTTGAGATCCACCTTTTAGTGCACTGACAAGAAAAGTCATCTGCTTGAAAAATACAGAGCTTCTTCTGTATCAGCTTATATAAATAGTACGACACTCTGAAAAAGAAGTTTATCATGATAGCTATAGGACAGGAATAGAAAGAAAAATCAGATGGAAATGCACTTAAAATTTCCACATTACTCATCTCCAAAGGAATTTTCATAAAGATATTCAACAACATCTGAAAAGATATATAACCATGGCGATACACCTATTAATGTGTTTACCACAACATGATATATTTAACATGGCATATTTTTAGAAGGCCACATAGTGTTACACTTTGTCAGGTTTTGAAGTAAAAATTTCCATGCTTTTAAATAGTTCTTCATAATTCTGAATTTATAATAGTTTGAATTTTACGAGTATCTTTGTTTATGAGAAGCAATACTTTGTAATTTGATATTTCAAATTACTTTTAGTCCTTTTGTTTGAAGTATTACTTGATTACTATAACTCACATGACTTTCCTATTGAGAATCAAAATGAGGATTCAGTGATAGGGATGCAGATCTTAAGTCTATTTCTCATGCACCGTTTAAGTTTTTACTTTGATGCACCACAGTGAAAAAAAGTGTGCTCCACAAAGATACAGGAAGGAGACAGGCAGAAAAGCCTCCTTGGCTGACATTTCACCATCTTCAGATGCTTTGAGTGGAATTTTGCAAGAGAGTCTTCACTGTTGTCACTAAACTTTAAAAAATATGTATGTAGCTTAGGTGCTAGTTACACTGTTAATGGAGTCCTAAAGGGTACATTTGTATATGAAATGAGGCATTGGGATTTTCAGCAGGACAGTTGTGGGCTTGAAGGAAGGTAGACACGTTGGACCCAGTTTACAGTACTCTGTGGAGTGTAATTCTGCATAAGATCTTAGCCTTTATGTAGAGAGAGTTTAGGACTGAAATACCAAAAAGAACTTTATTTCTTGTAAGGCAGTTCTCTGGCCTAGACCCAGAAAGCAGTACTGGGGTAAAAGCCCTCCAGTATTGTATGAATTGGTGTTCTTGGAGGAAAAAGGAGTGCTCACACTCTTGTCATTTTAAAATGCTCTTTCCTTTAAAACAAGTATGAGGAAAAATTTCTGGTAACAGGTTATATAAAGCAAAATCTTTCTGATTAAATGTTGGTAAGATGTTTATTGCTGAGACTAGGGGGTTTTGCACAGCATTTCCACAATACATTGGTTTTATTCCCAGCATTATTTCCAAGGTTTTACATCTTGTCTGGGAAGATAAGAAAGATCTAATACATAAACTTAATCTTTATCCCAAGAGATCTAATAGGAGACATGAATATTTTTTTCTATACACCTTCACATAAAGCATTAAAACATGCTTGTAACCCAAAGAATGATTAGTATGAATGTTAGTATATATGAAAGTTTTAAGTAAATTGGCAGACCTTTAAAAAATCATGTAGTAATTTCATGCCTTTGGATGCTTGTTTATTACCTAGGTTTTTCATTTATTAAAGTTTAGAAAAATACAAGAGGATCTATTGTTAAATTAACAGCAAAAACACGAACATTTATGCATCAGGAGGGAATTGTTACTGTATTTAGTGTTATATCTGGAATTTCATAATAAGACAGGCTTATTTATAAAAGGGTGCTGATGTCTGTTGTCCTGAAACCATGTTGTAGTAAGTCTCTAGCAGATAATGAATGGCGGGTATACAGAATTCCATTAACCCTTGTAGGGATGCATCCACAAGTCTCAACATGTCCCCTAATAGCACTCCATGAGGATTACCCCGTATTTGAAGTAAGTAGGTTAAAGCAGAGCCCCATTGGCTGTAGCCTGTGCTCATTCTCTGGCAAATAACTTTCTCCAACACACCCACTTCCCTGCCTTGAGATTCAGGTTCCCATTTCCAGAAAATTATAAATTACTGCAAGTCATACACCTCTGGGGTCACTGACAGATAATAAATTTTCAGGTAACAAGGGTGACTTCAACGTCAAGATGAGATTACCAGTTGAACCCTCATGTTTACTTTAAAGCAGTGTCAGAGCCCTGTAAAAATTATGTAAGCATGGTAAAATTTCCCTATTTTCTTGCCCCTAATAGAATGAAGGTCTTTGGCTTTAGTGTTAAATTCGTATATATTTAGTTATGATGGTACTTACAGATGATCATGCGTCCAGTTCCAGACTTGCCTGTACTTTTGTATGGCTCAAAGTCTTTGACAGTTATTTTGCTGTTAATGTATCATTTCTGTATTAAAAATCCACAAACAGCTGCTTGCTTGTGCTAAATCAGAAGTTAATTTACCAATCTAGTCTCAACTGCAGTGTATTTAAATAGGAAAACAAGTAGATGATGACTTGGGAATGTTTTGAGATAAATGTCAGTGCTCACTTGAATGTCAATTTCAAATATTTCTCTGACAAAAGCAATCAAAATTATGTATATGTAGCCAGTGTAGCATGTATAGAAGGTATATCTAATGATTTAAAATCCTATTGGTACTGTAGTGTAGCAGTATGAGAAATTACCTGGCTATAGAGGATTTTTAAAAGATGAACAGTTATCTTGCTTATTTGACATATATTTGTAGGTTTATTGAGTTTGTGAGCAGCATAAAAACAATCATTCCGTAGTTATTTCTTCATTGTGGGACTGAAACATTTCTGTAAAACGCATTTGTAAGGAAACTTTTAGACTCAGCTGTAACTTTTGGTGAGGTGTAGTATTTCAACAATGGGGCTTTTCTCATTACATGAAACCAGAGAAAATTCTCAGCACTTTTCATTTACTCTGTATGAGGGGAGAAGAATTTTTTCTTTCTACGAAGCTGAGTTAAGAAGCAATATTTGGCCACTTTATGCCATAAAATGTGTTAAATTGTAGAACATACTTGGGCCATACAACCACAAAAAACTAAAACTTTTGTGGAAGAAAAATTAATGGGCAACTCCTCTCTGTCTGGAATGGGATCAATGTACAATTAATACAATTGAATTTTATACATTCCCTAAAAATCCATTTTTAAATTAATAGTCATTATGATTGTATAAATTTAAGTCAGTGCTTTTAGTCTAAGGAAGGGTTTTCATTTCACCAAGTACAATGTTGTTGTGTTAAGTTTTCTATTTAAACATCATGCACTTAACTTCAAATACCAATTTGTAAAGTACTATCGGGTCCTTGAAGGGCCTATCAGGGAGTTGAAATCTCATACACTTTACTAGGTTATTTGTAAAAAAAAAAAAAAAATCCTTTTGCCTTTGAACAGCTGTAAAACATTTCAAAATTATGGCAGATGATGCCTTATTAAAATGCAGCCATTTAATAGTAAATCAGAATCCTTAATAAGTTTTACCTAATTCTTGCACTGAATTTCAATGGTAATATAAAGTTAAATGTGCATTTTAACCAGAGTTTACTGCCCATTTATTGCTTAGCATAGATAGAAAAAGAACTATGCCTAGTGTTAGGGGATTGACTGGCAAGGTTTATTTCAGATGGAAGAGAAGAAAGTGGAAGCACCTTACTGCAGGAGCATGTTGCATTAATTTAGTGCTGCTGATCACTTCAGTAGTTATTTCTGAACTTTGCTGCAAAGTGCTCTTTAGTTGAAGCACATTAAGAAAAGTATCTGCTTAATTGCTTTGTAAAATGAAGCAATTGTATTTTTTATCCTATAAATATAGTATAATTTAAAAGTTTTTCCTACAAGATGAGTTTATATTGCTGCCTAAACTTTCGTGTATGTAAACAGGTTTTTAAAAGGTGGGAGGGAGTCTGAATTTGTTGTGTGTGTGTGTTTTAAATGATTGCCCATTGAATTATTTCAAAAATGTGTTCATTCTAAAATTTTCTGTTTTGTCCACAGTAAATGTACAGCTTGGCATTTCTAGAATTTAGTTGATTGAAATCTTTCAGGTAAACATTCACTCTGAATTCCAAATTTATAAATGTTTCTCTCCTACAAATGTATTTGTTATGCCACCGTAAGGTGCATGTACAGAAACCTCCAAGGTTGACGTTAAATCTTATGAATGTTGTTTCACACACTGAATCTCAAAGCAGTCATTTGTTTTTAGAGTTAGAGGATTTTATTTTTAAGTCGGGTGCAATTAAGAGTGGCTCAGTTTAGGGAGTCGAGGGTGGGTGGGAAAGTCCTTGAAAGTGATGTTTAGGTATATACAGAACGTATGGGTGTTGGCTATAGAGTTCAGTTCTCACATGGGAAGTTTTGTTTTGTTTTGCTTTTTAACTTGCATGTTCTATGGTTAACTATTAAAGGGTGTAATAAGTTATTCCAGCTTCTCCCAATATTAATTATATTGATTTTAAGAAGTCTCCATAATCACAAGGTGGCATTTTTCCTTCTTTTCTGTGGACCAAGAGGGATAGACAATGCAGCCCATACAATGACTTTTTCAACTTCCCCAGAATCCCCATCTCATTGAATTTCTCATTGTACTGTATGTCTTGCCAAGTGTGAATCCATAATATGTAGTTTATGAAAAATAGAAGGCTACAGATCATTTTGCATGAATAAAGCCTATTGGGGTTAAAGAAACTGACATATTTTTAGCCTTTCTGGGTAAATGAAAATTTTAATGGCAAACTGATTCACGATTTACTAGCTTTGTGCAATATTATAAAGGTAGAAGCAAAACACTAACACATTGTGCTTGGCTTTTAAGGATGGCTTTAACACCACTACATTAAATGGACAGTGTGCACAGTGTATTGTAAACGCCAACTCTTGCAAATTTACAGTACTTAAATATGCTCAATTAACATTCTAAAGTATTAAAATTACAAAGAAAAACTAAGCAAGCATTTATAGCAATACTATGAAATCTCCAATAACTGTTTCGACTGTTGCCTTTTGCTCTTCAGTGCAACTTTTCTGCATTGTAATTATTGTATTGCTTTGTATTTCATGTTTTTTACACTCATGACTTCAGAGTTAAGTACTTGTACACCACGTATTGCAATCACCATTCTCTTCTTGTACATGCATTGTAACAACATACAGTTTTGGTGCTTAACAATATTCCTTTTTTTCTTTAATAAAGGATATTTATTTGAATTAACCTGATTTTGTTTGTTTAAAACAGCCTTGGTGCTAGATATTTTCATTTCATTTCAAATAGAAGGAGGAAGCAAGTTGTGCATTTCTCTGTTATAACACGCAGAACAGGATTCAGAGACTGTCCACCCCTATACTTCTGCCTCTTCCTGAGCACTACTTGTTATGAAATATTTTAATGGCAGCCTTGCTTGTGTTAACCAGTTGCCATCAGTTTCTACTCATGGCAACCCCATGCGTATCAGAGTAGAACTGTGCTCAGTAGTGTTTCTGATGGCTGATTTTTCAGAAATAGATTTCCAGGTCTTTCTTCTGAAGCATCTCTGGGTAGCAGCCAAGCACTTAACCATTTGTCCACCCAGGGACAGCCTTATTCATGCCTTTGGTGTAAATATCTACATAGTTTGGAAATACTGACCTCCAAAATTGGGAGGTATTTAAATTACTTTCATTTTAGTTGACAATTTGGGATCATTTAAATTGGGGGATTATTGGCTTTACACTTAAACAAGGGATTAGTTTAACTAGAGCATAGTTGGATCTACCCTTACCTGCTACTAACCTGATGCGATCCCCCAGCACACACAAGAGGCACACATCTATAGGCATAGGTCTTTTAGGGGCCTTAGGTCCTCAGTTGCTGGACAGACCCCGAGGAAGGGTGCCAGTTCCCATTTCTACCCAGGCAGCCAAAGCTAGTTTTGTCCCCTTAGCTACATAGAATTTTTGTTGCTGATTTTTTATTATTAGGGCTATCTCGTCCCTCTGTGAGGAGAGCCATAACATGATTGGTTCTTTTCTTCTTCTGCCTTAGCCATGCCCCTTAAATAGCTTGTACCATGGACCAAGGCGTTATGTGCCTAGATGTAGTTATCTATAAAAAGATGGGTTGAATAGGATGAGCTTTGGCCCTTCTTCCAGCTCCAGGATTCTGTATTTAGAAGTGAGAAGTTTATCCCAAGGAAGGCCTTTGTTCCATGTATTTTCCCTCTACAAATACAAATCTAAAACTAATTAGAGGGCTTTGATGACTAGATTTTTTTTAATGAGAATTTGAAGAATGGACTCAATAGAGGAGCTTTAGCCTTCTGCCTCTTGAATTAAACTTAGATAAATTAATACAATTGTCAACCCAGGACTTCAGAAGAATGCTTCTTGAACCTAGTGCACCCTTGTGAAAACCATGATGCAGTTGGCTTGGGATGGGCTTCTTGGGTGACCTCTGTTGGGTTAGCCGTCATTACTAGACAGAAGTGAAAACCTCTCCTGGAAATCTAGACCTGACTTAAATCCCTAAGTTCTGTGTAACTCTGTAATTCATCCTGACCTTGCAGAGTTCGTAAGCCAGTTTAAAATCTCATGAATTCTTTGGCACAGGAAACTCTGGGAGGTTTAAAATCTTTTTGGTGCAAATATACCAACATTCCATTACATTCTGACTGTTAACTGATTGTTAACGAAGTTTAACTATACTTCCCAAGAACTCTGTCCCCATGCCAAATTATTACATGGATACCCTCCAAGAGACTTTATCCTTTCCATAGAGTTCCCACAACTTTGTTGCTCACCAGGAACTTTGTTCTTCACTGTCAACATTTTGTCCAAACCTCCCCACTAATCTTGCCCATTCACATTGACCCTCCTGGTCACAAGTTGTGTGCTCAAATCATTCTCTGAACTTGGCCATTTGTCAACTCTTTTACCTTTAACAAACTGACAGCCCATTAATTCTGTCATGGCCATATGGGTCCATCCTCTAATCACAGTCTCCTCCTATCTCTTTTCCTTACTCCTACCTCCTCCTTGGCTATTGCTTAAATGACTCTGTGTGCTCAAGCCATTGAGCATCTTTTTTATCTCAGGTTCCTCCTTGTCACTACTTCTCATGGCCAGCCCTTGCAGTACATTCAGTAGAACGCTGGACTTTCTGCCTTCACACTGGCTAAGGAACACGTGCACCAATGCTACAAGGGTTTGCTGTGGGCAAACCTTGGTGTCTTTTCCAACCCTATCTCTATTTGATATGTTCATTCTATGCCTTCACACTCACACATCTGTCTGCCTGAAATGCTTCTCTTCCTCATCTTGTCATCATCTAAATTCCATCCGTTGAGTGTTAATTTGGAAAGAACATGGGTAATAATATGTGTTTGACCCTCCATGTGTGTCAACATTCTGAATCAGAACCATGTACATATGGTAATAAAAAAGTTAAGATGGAAAAGGGGGAATTTGAGAATCTCATTTAATTCTCAAAACAGCTCTACAAATGCTACAAATATGCATTTGAGGGATGAGAAAAAGGGTTAGAGATTAACTTGTCCAAGGTGACTAGTAGGTAGCAGAGAGGTATGCTATAAAACTAGGTTAATTTAAATACCTGTGTTACTCCCCATGGTAGCTTCAATTTCACTCTTAACCCTGTGTGGTCCAACTGATCCTGGCTTTCGATTCATACTGTCTGAGAACAGCTCTTCATTCCAGGCTAAAACTAGACTCTCTGTGTTGAGATGCACTATAGAAATGCTTGATCAGTAAAAATTTTCGGGAAGGTTAAAACAAACTTTCAAAGGCAGCAAGAGTCACTTCAAATAAAATTCAAATGAAGGCAGTCACAAAAGAAATCTATTAGGTTCAAATCTCTGAATTCACAGTCACCTCATCAGCATCATCATCCCATTGCCATCGAGTCAATTCCGATTCCAGTGACCCAATAGAACAGAGTAGAACTGCCCCATAGGGTTTCCAAAGCGGAAATCTTGACGGGAGCAGACTGCCAAATCTTTCTCCAGTGGAGGGCCTGGTGGGTTCAAACCACCAACCTTTTAGTTAGCAGCTGAGCACTTTAACACTGTGCCACAAGGGCTCCTTATCCTAGGAAACAAGTTGTAGTAGATTGCTTCTAAGTTCTCTGGGCTCAATCATAGGGCTAATATGTAGTGCAGATTTGAGACACTTGTTTCCCACAACAGTTTCTGCAAGATTCATAGGAATGTATCCCCACCGGTGCCTAGACAATATTTGTCTCACTTTGAGTGATATCTCCAAAAGCTCTCCCTTATTCAGTTCCAGCAAATTATGTCTGTTTTCAGGCTTCATATACCTAGAAAATCCCCAATGTTTGCAACCTATTTGAGTTTTTTAAGCCCTCAGTAAGTGACTTGCCATATCCCCCAGTGATCTGAGCGCTTTTTTATATTAAAATAATATGAAATAATACTTTTATCAAGTAATTGTAAGCCTGTAAATATGGTCTTGAGGAAAAACTGTAAGCAATTAAACTACGGGCCAATTCCTGTCAGAATAGTCTAATACCAAGTACAATTGAAAAGTTATCTATCCCCATGGGCATAGAATTTTTCCCATCAACAGATGTTTTATGTAATCAAAAACTGGTGCAAGACGGGCAAATTCTACAAAAAACACCTGTTATTTGTAACCATTTTATGAAGTATAGCAGGAATCAATCATATTCCTAAAACTTTTAATGAAAAATTTAGAATAAGAAACTCTACTCATTTTTTTTTTTTTTTTACAGATGTCTGCAGTATTTAAATGTATATCCAAACTAGAACAATAGCTCCATCAAATAGATTACCTCATACAATAACTTGGGAGGGGAATAAGAAGAAGGCGTGGAAGTCACAAGTCTGTAGCTGTGTTACAGATTAAATTGTGTCCCCCTAAAATATGTATTGAAGTCCTAGCCCCTATACCTGTAAATATGACCCTGTTTGGAAATAGGGGTTTTATATTAATGAGGCCATGCCAGAATAGGTCATAAACCTAATCACTTCTAAGTGGTGTCGTATAAAAAGAGCAAAATAGACACACAGAGACACACACGGGGAAGACAGATGCGATATGAGGATCATCTACAAGCAAAAGAACGCCAGCAACTGTTGGCAATCACCAGAAACTAGGAGAGAGGCCCACAAAAGGAATGAACGTGGCTGAGACCCTCATTTGGACTTTTAGCTTCCGAAACTGTGAGAAAATATATTTCTCTTCTTTAAAGCCACTCACTTGTGGTATTTCTGTTACAGCAGCACTAGCAAAGCAAGACAAGCCATCATGGGTGCATCGTGATATAATCCCATTCAAAATTATGTACTATGCAGAAGCCATTCTATGATTCTACAGTGGAAGTAACCCAGTTGGCAGCAACATCCCATAAATGTTTTAGGCCAAAATGATCCCTTTTATGCTTAAAGACAGACCCAAACCTCTGAGATCTGATTTGACTAAATGTTCAAATGTTCCAATTGTTCAAATCTTCTTTTAGAGAAACTATTTGGTCTCTGTACAGGCCACTTTGCGACCCACCTCTTTTTAGAAATAGGATGGCCTATCTGGGCAAGTATATGGGTCAATTCCAAAATATTTGAAACAGAATGTTCACTCTGTTGTCTGTTCTGTCATCACTTCCAACAACTGTCAGAAAACACAATCATAAATTTACTGTGACCCAGCACATGCTGAAAGATCTAACAGTGTCAATTATGAGTTTCTCTAACATTATCTAAGCTTTGGAATTATAAGCTAAATCAACAGAAAGTAACAACTAGACGTATTACATCACCAACTCCAGTAATGCACTGAATTATAAGTGTGGTGATTTTATACTTTGGCTTTCATGGACAGTTGAGAAGAAAAATATTCCACATATTTCCAGACTTTCTGCATAACTTCTTTTCCCTCTCTTCATAGGTAACTTCACCCTTCCCATGGCTTTAAGTAACGTCCTTATCATGATGATTCCCAATTTTATTTTTTTCTGGCCTATACCTCTTCTCAGAACACTAGCTACATATATATATTTAGCTGCCTGCTGATCTCTTCACTTGGATGCCTCACACGTTTCTCAAAGTCCAAATGCTTCCCTTGACCCTCTCTCCTATCATCAAAACTTGACCTCAACTCTTCCTGAACCCAACCTTAACCATCTTTCACAATTCATCCAGCTCTGCAGTTTTGAACTTAGAATTATTCCTTCCCACCTTCACCCACCACATCCAGTTTTCCCACAAGTCCTATCAAGTCTAGCTCCAGTTTACATCTGGCATATACCCACTTCTTTCTGTGCCCCCTGCTGCCTTTCTCATCCAGACTACCTTCACCTCTCAACCTGCTTGACCGCTGCACTAGCCTCCTAACTGATCTTTCCCCCTGCCACTCTTGTCTCCCTCCAGCTTATTCTCCACTTTCAAAGCAGTGTCGTCATGTCTCTCCGTTTTGTAAGACCCTCCAATTCCTTTCCATTGCACTTTGAATAAAATCCCAAAAGTCCTTCCTATGAACTGCAAGGCTGTATGTAATTTGGCTCTTGCTATCAGCCCCATTGCTTCATGGGCTTTAGTCACATGTGTAATCTCTTTCTTACCTCAGGATCTCTGCACAAACTGTCCTCCTAGAATTGTCTACCTTCTTCCCCCTTTTTAACATGACCAGCTTCTCATCCTTCAGGTTTCCGCTGAAATGTCTCTTCAGGGAAGATTTCCTACCCTTCTTAGGGTAGGTTTCGCTGTTATTTTCTATCTCAGACCCTTGTGTGGCCAAGTCATACTAATCCAATACTCCATCTGTCCCCCTACATTTCCTGGCACCGTCTCACTTAGGAGAGCCATTTAATTCTCCAGTGAAATGGTAGAAGCAGTAATGTGTGCCAGTTTCAGTCTGAGGGAATGAAACATCCATGAGTAATGTTCGAATCTTTCTCTTCTCTTGCAGCAAACATAGAGGTCTCATGCACTACAAGATAATGAATCTCTTTTGAGACTGAACAAGAAAAGGATAACCTCTGTCACCACTTGTTTTTACCATTTCATTGGAGGTGTAGGATTGGAAAGGAACAAAGCTTTTTTTTTTTTTTTTTTTTTTGCAGATTGTTATGTATCTAGAAAATCCAAGATAATCTATAAATTACTAGAATTAAGTTTAGTAAGGTTGCTTGAGAAATTCAATATATAAATATCAATTGAGTTTCTATGTGCTAGTATCAGTTAAAAATTAAAATTTAAAATTGTTAACACTGAAGAATCAATGGAAAAACAATGTAGTAGGAAAATGGACATGACACTGCAGTAGGCAATTCATAAAAGAGAAATCCAAATGGCCAATACACATACAAAAAGTGCTCTACCTCATTAGTAACCAGGAGAACATAATTAAAACCAAAGTAAGAAACCGTTACACCCACAAGAATGGTTAAAATGTAAAAGATTTATAATTTCAAGTGTTGTCAAGGATTTGGAAAAAAGAACTTTCATATGGTACTAATTGGCACAACTATTTTGGAAAAATGCTAGGCAGTATCTACAAAAGTTGAATATATGCTCACCCCTGTGACCGAGAAATTCTATACCCAGCTAAAATATATGTATACATGAACCAGGAGATGGCATATGCAAGATGCTCACAGCAGCATTATTCATATTTGAAAATAACCTAAAAATCCATCAAGTAGTGAATGAATAAATTCTGGTATTAGTAAAATGTGGTGTAGTCATACAGTGGAGTACTATAGAAAAGAACAAAGAGAAAATTACGGATGAGAAACATCAACCAATGTTTGAAAGATGCATGTGAGGTAAATGACATAGCTGATAGGAGGAAGCTGCCCTGGGAGCGTGTAGCAAAATACAAGAAGCAAGCCAGTTGCTGGTGGGCAGAATCCCAAGGGCCAAGCACTGGGAGGCACCATGTTCTTGGAAAGGTAGGGATGAGGTCTAGGGTTGAAAAGAGAGACAGTGGTGGAAA